AATAGTAAAATAACATGGGACAGAATAGTAAAATAACATGGGACAGAATAGTAAAATAACATGGGACAGAATAGTAAAATAACATGGGACAGAATGTAAAATAACATGGGATAGAGTAGTAAAATAACATGGGATAGAGTAGTAAAATAACATGGGACAGAATAGTAAAATAACATGGAACAGAATAGTAAAATAACATGGGATAGAATAGTAAAATAACATGGGACAGAGTAGTAAAATAACATGGAACATAATAGTAAAATAACATGGAACATAATAGTAAAATAACATGGAACAGAGTAGTAAAATAACATGGGACAGAGTAGTAAAATAACATGGAACATAATAGTAAAATAACATGGGATAGAATGTAAAATAACATGGGACAGAATAGTAAAATAACATGGGACAGAATAGTAAAATAACATGGAACAGAATAGTAAAATAACATGGGACAGAGTAGTAAAATAACATGGGACAGAATGTAAAATAACATGGGACAGAGTAGTAAAATAACATGGGATAGAATAGTAAAATCCCATGGATTAAAATGGGACAGAACAATAAAATAAAATGTTATTTTACTGATACCACACCCTTTTAAATGACTGCCCCCTTACAATCTCAGCGTTCCCAATTAATTTTGGCAGCTTTTTTGTACATCTTGAGCTCAAATTTCGTGTTTTCTTCCCAGGAGGAGGAAGAGGAGCAGCCCCAGCCAGCCCAACCAGCGCTGCCCGTGGAGGAGAAGAAGAAAATTCCGGATCCAGACAGCGACGACGTGTCGGAAGTGGACGCCCGGCACATCATCGAGTGAGCCTTCCTCCCTCCCCTCCTCTTCCCAGTCTCCTGCTCCAGCTCCCCATCCAGCTGGGACGTCCTTTATTCCTTCTTCCTCTTCCTTCTCCTTCCTCCTCCTCCTCCTCTCCTTCCCTTTTTGCTTCTCTTTCCCATCCTTTTTCTCTTCTTCCTTTTCCTGCTGTGCCGTGACCCTTTATCCCGGTTTTCCCCCATTTTATCCCATTTTATCCCATTTTCCACCCCCATACCCCATTCCCCGGTGGTCCATGACCCTTTATCCCGGTTTTCCCCCATTTTATCCCATTTTCCACCCCCATACCCCATTCCCCGGTGGTCCATGACCCTTTATCCTGGTTTTTCCCCATTTTATCCCATTTTTCACCCTGTACCCCATTCCCGGGTGGTCCATGACCCTTCGTCCCAGTTTTTCCCCATTTTATCCTATTTTATCCCATTTTTCCCCCCCATATCTCCTGTTCCCAGGTGGTCCATGACCCTTTATCCCATTTTTCCTCATTTTATCCCATTTTTCCCCATTTTATCCCATTTTTTCCCATTTTATCCCATTTTCCCCATTTTTTCCCATTTTCCCCCATTTTATCCCGTTTTTCCCCCCGTACGCCATTCCCGGTGGTCCGTGACCCGCTATCCCGTTTTTTCTCCATTTTTCCCCATTTTATCCCATTTTTTCCCATTTTCCCCCATTTTTTCCCCATTTTATCCCATTTTATCCCATTTTCCCCCATTTTTTCCCCATTTTTCCCCATTTTTCCCCATTTTCCCCCATTTTTTCCCATTTTCCCCCCGTACCCCATCCCCGGTGGTCCGTGACCCTTTATCCTGGTTTTTCCCCATTTTCCCCATTTTATCCCATTTTATCCCATTTTCCCCCATTTTTTCCCCATTTTATCCCATTTTTCCCCATTTCCCCCCATTTTTTCCCGTTTTTCCCCCGTACCCCATCCCTGGTGGTCCATGACCCTTTATCCTGGATTTTCCCCATTTTTCCCCATTTTCTCCCCATTTTCTCCCCATTTTTCCCCATTTTCTCCCCATTTTCCCCATTTTCCCCCATTTTCCCCCATTTTTTCCCCCCGTACCCCATCCCCGGTGGTCCGTGACCCTTTATCCTGGTTTTTCCCCATTTTTCCCCCATTTTTTCCCCATTTCATCCCATTTTTCCCCATTTTATCCCATTTTTTTCCCCCGTACCCCATCCCCGGTGGTCCGTGACCCTTTATCCTGGTTTTTCCCCATTTTTTCCCCCATTTTTCCCCATTTTTTCCCCATTTTCCCCCATTTTCCCCATTTTCCCCCATTTTCCCCCATTTTTTCCCCCCGTGCCCCATCCCCGGTGGTCCATGACCCTTTATC